ATACGCAAAACAGCAAAAATTACTGAAAGAGTAGGTAAAAGAAATTTTTCACTTCTTCAACTTTAGCTGAAGAAGTGAAAAAGATAAAAGATTTTTTCTTATTCTGATGACAGATGAACCAAGTTAGCGTGGAAATTTTGCCAATTTGATTGTAAAGCGTATGCTAAGAAAAACTCAACACCAATTGCTTACTCGAGTCAGTAATTCTACTTCAGCATTGCACTGTAAAAAAGTTTCCGTAGTATACACTAATGGATGTTCTAAGGTCAAACGGCAGAGGAAATCGGTTGAAAAAAAAGGAAATGAAACTGAAGTAGAATTACTGACTGTTCTTCAACCGATTTCCTCTGCCGTTTGACCTTAGAACATCCATTAGTGTATACTACGAAAACTTTTTTACAGTGCAATGCCAAATGCTAAAGAAAAATGTGATTGTTGCTTATGACATGCAGACTTCTGACATATCTTTTGCGTTTTCTTTTTCTCCCTCTTTTGGTTATATCTTGCTTTTTTCTGTCTTAGCATTTCTCAGTGCATCCCTTGTTCGCTTGTTCTTTTGACACATAAACACACACACACACACACAGACACAGACACAGACACAGACACAGACACACACAGACTAACAGAAATGCGCACTTCGATTCTTTTATGCTTGTTAAAATCACCAGCTTTCTTTGTTGTTCATATTCTCCTCCGTTTAATTATCCCGGGTCGCGTGCAAACGTAGCATCTTCCACGGAAGAAGAGAGGAAATCCCAGAAAACACTGTTTTTCTCTGCCCAGTGCACGCTTCTTTTTGCAATAGAAAAAGTATGGAAGACTACCGCAAGAAGGCTAAGCGGCATCATGAGCATGATCTTCAGACGAATGGTTATGATAAAGCACCAAAACTGCTGTTAAAGATGTAGGAATCTTATTCCCCTTGTGTGTTTGAAATCACTCAACTTTTGTGGAGCGGGAGACAACAACTCGGCAACAACAATGACAGAAAATTAACTGTTTCCAGAAAAATCAACTTCCGTCGTTAGCTGAAAAACTGCGATCGCTGTGAATTTATCTTTGCTTAATGTGAGCAATAGTGACTAGCCTGTATAGGTTGTATGGCTGTTCTTCTTGTTCCGACTAAGCTGAATAACTATATAGAGCTTCAAAAAGATCTATGACTCAAGTAAAAAGTATTCTTCTTTTGCCAGACCCGGTGGACAGAGAGTCGAACTTCTGAGCATAGTAGGATGCACCAATGAAATGAGGAGTGGAGAAAACATGGGAAGTAAAGAAGCCAGAATTCAGAAGGGAAGAACTTAGTTTTACGTAAAGAGCTCTTCAATAAAAAGTATAAAGGAGCAACACGAAAACAGAGGGCGGAAATAGAGAGGAGAAGAAGGGGAAGGTAAGGTAAAGGTTAAGACTTTAAGTTCTGCTTACTTATTTGGAGAAGAGAATCAAAACTTATTTATAGTCAAAATGTGGTAAGAGTGCCTTTTTTTGGCGAGGAAGAAGGGTACTTCAATGAGTGGTTGGCACTTTGCTTCTAAAATAAGATGTGTTTTCTTTTTCTTCAACTGTAATTTTTCCTTTATCAAATCAGCTGAAAGTAAACAGAAAAGGCGGCAACGAGAAGAATTAATAAGAATGTAAACAAATTCGTTGCATGAAATAATTACAATCAACTTCTCC